AATACAAATACAGGCCGCAATACTGAGGGCAGACCGTGAACTAAACATAGCCGTGCGCAGAGTGCTCTGTCCAGCCCTGGAGCTTCTGATTGAGCATGGACTACGCGCTCAATCGGGATCAAGCACCTTGGGTGCCAATCTAACCTCCGATGACGCTGGCATCCTCGCCAAATGGGGCCTTGGCTGCTTCTCTCGACGTCCAGCCCACGCCCCCCACGACTATGCACAAGATAGCAGCCCCGATGAAGACGAGGATGAGGTGCTGAGTGATGGCTACGAGGACCAAGGGAAGCGGAAAAGGCACGTTCAGAGACCCCGCAAAAAGTCCTCCGTCACGGCCTGGTCCATCTTTCTGAAGTATTATGTTATGAAGGTGCGTTGCTCTTGCCCCAACATTTACCCCTCCCCTTCATTTACTTCCGTTGTTGTATTAGCTCGCTGCTCCCAAATTCGCAAGAAAGTTTGTTTTCGGACCACTGGATCGATCACTGAGATTCGCTTTTTTTCTTGGAGTCAAGTACAAGTCTGGACTTTTTACTACCTTCTTCTACCCATGGTATATGCCTCACACTAGAAGAAACAAGCACAGCCAAGCAATTGTTTTTAGGTTTACTTTGCATTTGGGAGCTAAATATTCCCTACAGACGACACCAAGTAAGATGTACTTATTATTGCCTTCTGTCTCCGATCTAAGTCAGGTACCTGAAAGATCGCTTGTTTTCGCCGGACCTACCGTTTTTTTCATTCAGCAACTATTGCTAACTGTGAGCCTAAATTCGGCGAGGTTTTTGCTGTTACCAAAACGCTATTTGTGACGTACTGGCCCTTTGGGTGTCAGAAAATGTTTACAGATTTTCGATCAGGCTATCTCCGGCCCTCCGCAAGGTGTTTTTTCAATCTGCGCCTTTAGTGGGCTCTCCGCTTTCATGAGTCTCTGGTACGTGTTTATGTGCGGTGTCCTCAGTTTGGTCTTTAAATTTAGCACAGTTGTCAACGCGCAGGATTTTTGTTGCAGACAAAGTCGGTGGAAATAGGGGCATTCGATCGCCAGCATAACTTTTTTCGTCCGACACTTTGCATTAGTACGCAAAGCCACGATCAGGCGTAGGTACTGAGCACACAGTTAGTGCAGTTACTTGGCCACCTAGGCACCAGAAGAAATAGTTCCTTCACGCCGACCATGATTGGCAGGATAGATGCTGCGGCGTTGATAACTGCTGTTTTAACCCTGGTGTTCGTGATCGACATGCAAATGTTTGCCATTTGGATCCTCAGTGCTGACTCCCCAGGCAGCATTCGTCTTCGTCCTCGCATCAGTGATGTCGCCATCCAGACAAAGCCGAAGGTTGGAATTTGGGCGGAGGAGCCATTGTGTGTTTGGAGATACCGCGGGCCGGGGAACAATAACATAAACAGCTCACGACGCTTATCCTTGTCTCTAATCTCAAGGATTTCCATCCGTTGCATTCGAGGTGGCCGGAGTGCGCAGCAACTTGAGAATTGACGTCATCCCCCTCTTACATTGCTGCTGCTAGCGCAATCCCTCGCGTCCGGTGTAAGTTTCCTGTTACTTTGCTTGCAATTGAACTCGACCCGCTTGAGGTCTTCCAATGTGGCAGGGGTTAGCTGTTTCCTTACCTGGCTCTGGGTAGTTGTCTGTGTTCAACCAAAAAATGCGCATGGTGTGAAATGGCGACAACGGCCTGTAATAACCTAGCATGGGGACCGCTTACCCAGACTTAAATCACGTGGGACCCGGTTATACGCTTTACATTAACCTGTTGAAAAAACTGCCCTCCTAGACATTTACAGTCGTCGCCGGGTATCAAGCCCACGGTTAATAAGCCCAGCCGTGTATTAAACCCAAGTCAGCTTGGGACGGAATTTTACATAGCGAAATCCGCCGGCTAATAA